AGCGTTCGATTTGATTTTCCTAGCCTCATCTCTTTGCTTAGGTAGAGTACCATCCCGAATATAAGTTATGATCGGATCAATCCAACTTGGCTCATATGGAATAACATTCACTTGCCAAGGATCTGGGCCCGAAGGTTCTTCTAAAATGGATGGCTGGTTCAGTATACCTACTGGAATCACCCTTGCCAATGTCTCTCCAGAACCAGAGGCGCTACATATTAGCCGATCGGCATCTTCGTTATGTTCTCTCGGTATTTGGATGAATTCAATTTTTTCAAAGTTTCTGACTTCTTGTATAACAGCAGAATGATATGCTTCCATCGTTTCATCCTTGGTTTCATATTCGCCATTCACCTGCCGGACAATTAACTGTGAGTCACTAAAGATGGTCAAATTCCTGACCTTCAGCTTTTTGGCGAGCTTAAGTCTAGCCAGTAGTGCCTCATATTCTGCTTCATTATTAGTGGCTCTGAATTCGAGCCGGAGCACTTGACTTAGGGACGTGCCTTCTGGTGTCTGCAGTTTAAACCCAATGCCTGCCCCTATCTGATTTGAGGATCCATCGATAAAGAGTTTCCACAAGCAACCTCGAAGGTCTTCCTCCATGTCTTCTGAATCACATTCTAGTAAGAAATCTGCCACTGCTTGCCCTTTGATTGCCGTTCTGGGTTCATATGTTATGTCAAATGAGCTTAACTCTATGGCCCACTTCGTCATCCTCCCTGAGAGGTCTGGCTTGTGCAGGATTATTCTGATAGGGAAAGTGGTTAGAATGATGATAGGATGGGATTCAAAATAATGCCTGAGCTTTCTTTTCGCATGTATTAGCGAGAGTATCACCCGCTCGGCCTTTGAATATCGTCGTTCAGCCTCAGTCATCATTTTACTAACATAGAACACTGGATATTGCTTTCCCTTTTTACAATGGATCAGAACTCTACTTGTCGCGATGCTGGATACCCCGAGGTATAAAAATAGTTTTTCTCTTGGTTCGGGAGCTGACAGGACCGGAGGGTTCTGCATATATTCTTTCAAACCAGTTAATGCTCAGCGCTGTTCATCCCCCCAAACTTGTCTCCCATGGCTTCATATTATGTCAAAAAATGGTTTGTAGCGATCTGACAATTTGAAAATGAACCGGCTCAATGCAGCTATTCGACCCATAAGTGCATGCACTTCTTTGATTGTCTTCGTCTCGGCATTTTTAGTCAGAGCTTCTGCTTGGGCAGGGCTAGCTTCTATGCCTCTATGATTAACCACGTGTCCCAGGAACTGACCAGAACTCACACCGAATGAGCACTTGGTTGGATTGAGCTTCATTTTATATTGTCTCAACACATCAAATACATCTTGTAGATGTTTCAGATAGTCAACTTTCTTTTTACTTTTTACTACCATGTCGTCAATGTAGGCTTCCACAGTCTTCCCTATTTTATCCTTGAAAATTTTGCTAATAAGCCTTTGATAAGTTACTCCGGCGTTCTTCAGTCCAAACGGCATAACTTTGTAGCAATAGGTCCCTCACTCGGTAACGAAAGAAGTTCTCTTCATCAGCAGGGTCTAAGGGGATCTGATTATAACCTGAATAAGCATCTAAGAAGGTTAAACGCTCATACCCAGTAGTAGCATCCACCATTTGATTAATCTTAGGCAGTGGAAAACTATTCTTCGGATAGGCTTTGTTCAAATTAGTGAAGTCAATGCACATTCGTCATTTCCCATTCTTTTTCTACATAACAACAACGTTCGACAACCAGTCGGGATAGTACACTTCTCTTATAAATCCCGTATCAAGTAGCCTATCAACCACCTCAGTTATGATCTGGTTACTTTCTGGAGCAAACCTTCGCTGCTTCTGCTTTACAGGTCTTGCATTGGGATTAACGTTCAGGAAGTGACAGGATACCAAAGGGCTAATTCCAGGCATGTCTAAGTGATTCCATCCAAATACATCAGCATTGTGAGATAAGAAATCAATTAATTCCCGATTTTCCCTCTCGGTGAGTCTTACTCTCACTCGGATAGTTCGCGCTCTGGCCTAGATTGTTCGATCTGTACATCAATAAGGGGTTCTTCAGTCAAGTCCACTGGCTCCTCCTCCCCATTCTGCTTGGGTGGAGGTTTCTGTAATTGCTATCTCGGGCTCGCCGATCGGACAGGTGCCTTTCCTTTCCCAACGAATTTTAGTGTCACTGAATAACATTCCTTAGCTGTAACTTGGTCCCCATGAATGTCAATCACCTTGGTGCCATCTGGCCCTAGGCATTTCATTACTTAGTGCAGAGTGGAAAGAACACCTTGAACTCTGTGGATCCACCCTCTGCCCATTAGAAGGTTGTAAGAGGGATGGATCTCGACAACTACAAAGCTCTCCATCAAAACCCTCTCTGCAGCATGTTCTGCTACTTCCACCATACCGATGGGCTTCACTCATTTTCCATCAAACCCTAGCAAAGGATTTCCAGTGGGCTTGAGCCGGTCTGGCTTGATCTCGAGCCGATCAAATGTGTCCCTCGGCATGACGTTTGCACTACTTCCAGGATCAATCAGAACTCTGCATACCAAACATTCGGCCACTGTCAAACTGACGACTAACGGATCTTCATGAGGAATCTGAATGTGTAACAGGTCGGTTCTGTCAAACTTGATTTGCGTTGATGCGTTCTGCGGATGCAGAGTGTTTACACTGCCTATCCTCCTCTTCATCTGTGCTTAGCAGAGGCGCGTTCTAAGCAGTTCTTCTAACTTTTCAGCCAGTTCGGGCCGACCATGAATTGCATGGATTATGCGAACTGGTTGTGAGTTGTGGGAGCTCGGCTTCTGATTCCTTTTTACTTGCTCCATTGGTCGGTTCTGTTCCACCGCCGTGCCTTGGATATAACTTGCGAACTCCCCTCTGGCTATCAGCATCTCTACCTGCCTCCTTAAGTTCCTGCATTCATTAGTCTGATGGCCAAAGTCAGAATGGAAAGCACAATGCTTAGACTGGTCCCTCTGGTCAAGGGGCTATCTGATAGGTAAAGGAGGTCGGAACTTATCTTTATTTTCTTGGTACAGCCTTGCCAGTGTGACTTTTAGTAGAGTAACCAGCTTTTCCTCTCTGGGCCTCTTTTCAGCTTTCCAAGAGGTCTAACACTGTGGCTGAGCCTGCTTTTGCCTAATTTTTGCTTTGGTTTTCTCTTATGTTGTTATTATGGATGTCTTCCGAGCATTAGCTGCTTCTTCTTTTTCTAAGCGTACAAAACCATCAGCTCTTTCATTAAGTTCATCCATGGTCTTTGGTGTATTCACTACCAAGCTTGTGTGAAATGGAGTGCCACGAGTCATGGCCAACTTAAATGCTTGAACCGCTGTAGAGGGATGGCATTCGATTACCATGCTCTTGGTTAAGTTGAACCTGGTAAAAAAGGCTTGGAGACGCTCATCCTCATGCTGCCTCATTATGAACAAACTAGAGACATCTTTTATCGGGCGTTTATTTCCATAATACTGACTTATGAACTGATCACAAAGGCTTCGAAAACTATCAATCGAACCCCTCGACAAGTTTTTGAACCAGTTGAGCGCTGGTCCAGCCAAGCTGGTTGGAAAACACTTACACATTAAAGAATCATTCTCGATGTTCAAAGCTATTTTCAACTGGATATGATACACATGATCTACCGGATCAGTCGTTCCGTTGAACAGAATGAAAACCGGCATAGAGAATTTCCTCTAATTCGGAGCATTCAGAATTTCGTCAGTAAACGGCGAGTCAATCGTCCGAGCTGCTGAACGTAGTGCCTCATTCTCTCGTTGGCTTGCTACTGCAAATCTCGGATCCGTGAATCTCCTTTCCGAGCTGCGGCAATCAAACATAGCCACTGAAGGCCGGTAAGGCGGATCAGATGACCTTTCCTCGATGTACTCCTTCTGCCAGATCGGTGCAGCCTTTTGGTGTCCAAACTCTATAGATCCTTCTCGGTCGAATCTTTCTGGATACGGATCGGAAGTCCTGGTCTCGTTCCACCTGATTTGTTCACGCCGTGGATTCAGGTGAATCGAGCCTTCACGCTCATCGACACGACGGAGATTTGGCGGCAGATCGTCTGGCCTGACCTCTTTATGGTGAAGATCAGTCTAATTGTTTCTTACCTCCTCACCGTGGCGTGTAAGACCGGGAAATACAATTCCTTCGTCTGCCGGAAGCGGTCGCGGGAGCACCGGAGCTTCTTGACGCTGCATTCCGGCTCTTAGCTCCGCATTCTCTTTTCGGAGAGCTTATATCGTATTCATCAACTCATCAAGCTTCATTTGCTGGACATTCTCCATCGGATTGGAGCTCTCACCTCCTATGATGATTCCGGAGTGAAGCAAAGGCACGAATCACAAATTCCTAATCAGATCTAAGCGTTATCGATGCAAATTCCATCAGATCTGGACTCAACTTCACCGAATCGTGGTCACCGTTTGTTAGCTATGAGCTTTTCTAGCTTTGAACTCACCGGATCCAGCTGCGATTGAACAAATCACAGGTGCGTAATTCCGACGCAAATGCCTCAAAATCAACAACAATCAAGAATCTTTTCTGAGCAAACTGCAATCTCGCTGATCTGGATTCAACTTTCAGAAATCAAGCTTTGTTTTCACGAATTTGCTTGAATCAATATAATATCGATTAAGCTCGAATCGATCTTCTTCGTCGTTCCCACAGATGGCGCCAATTGTAAATGCAAGAAAATCTCTCTCTATTTTGATAGAATTTCGGTATATTTCACAATAATCCCCTTCTCTTTTACTCTCTTCACTGCCTATTTATAGGCAATTATAAGTGCTACTGGACTATCAGCTTTGGGCCTTTTTTCTAAGGCTTGGCCTTCTCTAATGGATCCTCCAAGCTTGGCCCATTTTGTGGTGCTTTTGTATGGGCTAATTTCAATTGTTTGACCCGATGCCACGTTCGCGGATCATACCCAGCCCATATTATCTCCGGTATCCTCATTGGTTGAATCTAAGAAATTTATATTATAAAAAATAGTACACTGGCTTTTTAAATGATATACTTATTTTGGACGAATAAGAAAAAAGTGCACGCTTGTTTCCGGATGGCCTGAGTATCAAAAGTGGTGGATTTTTATTTTAATTTTTTTTTTTTTTTTTTATAAAATTCTTATATTTATCATTTAAATGATGTGCTGGTAACTTTGTCATTTTCCTTGCATTATATATTTGTCATTTTTATTTTTATTTTGGTATGTAGCAAAAACCTATTAACGGTCTTATTTTGATATTTTCCGTCTTTGCCTCCTACGCCTCCTTTCAAATTTCACAAAGTCTCATAGTAGCCCTCTCTCCGTCTCACACACCACACAGAACAGACAACAGACACATCTCCACAAAGCGGTTCTCCCTCTTACTTGCTTTCTTGATTTCTCAATTTTTTTCGTTTCATTTGTAATTTATTTCAATTTGTTCATTTCGGTTGAATTGTTGAAGGTCCGTTGAAACACTTGATCTCTGGTTGTTACGCTTGGGTATATAATCTTTCAGGTAAGTGATGTACCGTGTACTTAGGGTTTCTTTTTTGTTCTTTGATTTAAGTTGATGTGGTTTAGGGTTTGATGTTTATGAAAATTTTGAACACTTTGATTGTATGTGTTTGAGGGGTTTTTAAACACTTAGGGTTTGATATGGTTTAGGGTTTTTGGTTTTGAAATTGTAATAACTGCTGGGTTGATTTCTGCATGGTTTAATTGATTTTTTTTTTTTTTTTTAATCTGTTCATGGTGCTGTAAATTGGGTTGATTACTGTTGGGTCGATTACTGTATGTTCAATTGCCTTTTTTTTTTTTTTTTATTGGTTAATCTGCAGATGATCATTGTAATTGTGTTGATTACTGTTGGGTTGATTACTTGATTTATTTGAAGTTGGCATTTAAAATTTTTTTTGTTTGTGTTTTTGTTGTTGATCTGATCATACAATATGCTGTGTATACTGCATGACGGATCATTGCCCATCTCTGGTATAGAATTGTTTGACAGTTTATAGCATATACAATATTGTACTCTATTTGTTTTAAATATGGGTTTTACTGTCGCAGTTATGGCTGCAACAGTATCCATGACTTAGTTGTCCACTATCAGGGTACTGAATCTTTAATAGAATGGGTTGATCCAGATAAGTATTGTTACTTTGATTTAATGGATGATGTGTTAGCAGTGTCATGTTTCCACTCAAAAGGCTAAGAACATACCCACAACAGCATTTCATGAATATTGGCATACTCGTGATAATGGATAATGTACTTTGTAGAAGATGGGTGAAGACATCTTTACATTTTACACTGAGATTATATTATAGACTAGCAGTCTAGCACTAATTGATAATTGTTCTCTGGATCCTTTTAATCCGTGTTTTATGTTCTTATTCTGCATTCACAGGATTCTGCATTGTAGGAGACCATAATATTGAACATTTTATAGTCTGCATGGTTTAGCTTTAACTAATTTACATGGGTTTGTCTTACAAATGCTAACTAAATGTTGATTTTGAGAGAGTCTTGCAATTGTCTTGTTATTTGTTAAGTTTTCTTCTTTTTAGGCTTTCAATGCTCAGAATTACAATTTCACCATGTAAAGAAGTTCATTTCAGTTGATCGCATATCTTTATTGGGAAAATCCGTACTTGTCATTCCGTTTGAAGGGTTTTTTGGTAAATCTTTGAGTTACAGGTGCAATTACTTTGACCAATATGTAGTTTTTGTTCGTGAATTGCAATCTATTTTCACATAATTCTATATGTAATTTTGGGGTTAAATCATTACATCCACATGACTAGTCTGTTTGATTTAATATGCAGTCTGCATTAAAGGACTGGAATGCATTATTTCTGATCATTTGACACATGCATACACACATACATATCTATCTCTTTGTGCATATGTGGCCAGTTTTTCTCATTATTTTATGATCATTATTTTTTTAAATCTTGTTGATCCATAATTTTAAAATGACCAACAGACTCTTTTAGCACTTAGTTTTTCATCAAAATATTTTCACACTGATGTTTGGTGGGTGAGCGGTGAGCCTTGGTGCAATGGTAACGTTGCTCCATTGTGACTTGGAGGTCACCGGTTCGAAAGAAGGAAATGGCCTCTCCACATTGCAGAGGTAAGGTTGTGTACATCTGAGCCTCCCCAGACTCCGCAATGACAGGAGTCTCATGTACAAGATTTTGCCCTTTTATGTTTGGAGAAGATAGTGTTTTTTTTTATTTTTTATTTTTTTATTTTTTTTATTTTATTTTTTGTTCCCTCTCCTTTGGTTGGACTAAGCTTTTGAATGCACACACATGTGAAGCAGATTTTCTACAAAATTTTGGTTTTTAACACCATCCTGCCACTTCTACTCTGACCTCCCTACTTGAAAGTAAAATATTGAACTCTATTTTTACCTTGCAGAAGCAGAACTGTTCTGTTTAGGGTGTTTGAACAACTTTATGGTTAATACAAGGTAAAATTTGAAAGAGCCTTGAAGCCTTCTAACATAGGTGAGGTTGTTAATATTTGAAATCATGATTTGTGTGGGTTTCCCTGTAAATATGAAGCCTTAGTGCAAGGCTTGCTTAATGGCATCTGGTAATTATCTTATATAGGGAATTGTAAGCATTGAAAGAAGAAACTAAAATATGAATGCGAATTGAACATTGAAATTACACTTCTGCATTATGTAAGTCCAGATTGTATATTTGCATAGATGACAAAGTAGTCAGTTTCTGCTGCAAAGCAAGCCACAAAATGAAGCAGTTTTGAGGGATAGGATTAGAAAAATAAACCAGAATATGCCAAGATACTAAATTCCTTCTCCCTCAAAGATTCCCAAGCCGACGGCAGTGTAAATACCAGTGGGAGAGGAATCCCCTATGGTCAAGTCATGCCCAGGAAATGGAAGCATAATCTCAGCAATTTCTCTGAACTAAGTTTGGATAGTCTCTGGACACTTCCAAGTTTGTATAGATACATCCATAATAGCTGCAATTTTGGATTTAGCATATAACGTGTGAAATCAGTCTGTCTTCTTCCAAAACCCGAAGTTCCTAAACAGATGGACAAACCACCATTATCGATTAACCTGATCTTTCTAACACTGTGTTTTCCTCAACAGCCGTGTCTGGTCTGTATAGTGAAGGGTCCCATGTCTGTGTTGTGTCGTGTCGACACAGAAACCCTTGCCAGCGCTGGTGAGTCCAGGTAACATGAAGGCCTGAGTATTGAAGGAATACTTGAAGAGCACTGCAGACAACTGAAGTTGACTTGGAATCCCCACGACAAAACAACAAGAAATCATTTGCAAGGCAGAGGTTTGTGAAGTTTACTTTCTTACATCACCAATGGTACTTCAAATTCCTTTCTTCCTGCACCTTAGAATCAATAACCTGTTTGTAATACAAGTTTGAACCCGAGATATTAGCCTTTATAGAATTTTATGAGTCTCATAGTACTGATAAGAATGCTCCAATGGGAATTATCATAAGCTTTGGCTAAACCCACTTTCAGTGTTATTCTACAGCTTTCAGTGTTATTCTAGGCTTCCCAGCATTCTATGGTAATCCGTCAATAATTCTTGGGCTAACAAAACATTGTCAGCAATTCTGCTCCTATACACAAAAGCAGTTTGATTCTGTAAAATCAGATAAGGCAATACTTTCCTAATTCACTTAGCCAAAACAATAAAAGTGTTTTTGGGAAATACTTAAATGTAAACTCTAAGCACAATATACTAGACAAACTGGGCATACTTCATAGCTTTCGTTGTGCATTCTAGTGAATCTCTGATTGCATCGTGAGTATGTTCTTGGGTTGTTGAAACATCTATTGCTATGATTCAAAGGTTCTTCAACAACAAATCTAATCGCACAGAAGTGGATGTTAACAGAAAGGAGATTATAAGTCCATTTTGAATTGCATGAGGAGCAAGTTTGTCAATGGACAAGTGGCCGGAAGGATTTAAGGAGATCTTGCACATCTTTGAGTCGAGAGGGACTAGGTGATTCTAGGGAGAATCTGGTAACTTAATTGTAAACGTCTTTTTCACATAGTGGATTGTGATCGGAGGGATTTAGGGAGATTTTGCACAACTCTGAGTCGGGAGGGACTAGGCGATTCTAGGGAGAATCTGGTAACTTAATTGTAAAAATCTTTTTCACATAGTGGATTGTGATCGGAGGGATTTAGGGAGATCTTGCACAACTCTGAGTCGGGAGGGACTAGGCGATTCTAGGGAGAATCTGGTAACTTAATTGTAAACATCTTTTTCACATAGTGGATTTTTGTCTACTTGACCAAGTCTTATGGTTTTTGCCATTTGTGTTTTTCACGAAAAAATTCTTTTGTTGTGTCTGATTGCTTTTCTGTTACTGTTTATATTTTCACATACATATACATTATATTCATATAGTAGTTGTTTAGCATTGCCATAATTCTTAATGACAATTTTCTCTTACTTTCTTTGATTAGCATTTAAAATGTGTAGTGTAAAAAAATAAATGTACAAATGTACAAGTCAATCACTGAATATAGGGTTTGTTCAAAAGATTTGAAGTTCAAAAGATCTTGCACAACTGTTGGGAGGGACTAGGTGATTCTAGGGAGAATCTGGTAACTTAATTGTAAACATCTTTTTCACATAGTGGATTTTTATCTACTTGACCAAGTCTTATGGTTTTTGCTGTATGTGTTTTTCACGAAAAAATTCTTTTGTTGTGTCTGATTGCTTTTCTGTTACTGTTTATATTTTCACATACATATACATTATATTCGTATAGTAATTGTTTAGCATTGCCATAATTCTTAATGACAGTTTTCTCTTACTTTCTTTGATTAGCCTTTAAAATTTTGTAGTGTAAAAAAATAAATGTACAAATGTACAAGTCAATTACTGAATATAGGTTTTGTTCAAAAGATTTGAAGTTCTAAAATTTGTAGTTTAGTACTGTCTGAAAGCAAATTAAAACTGTTTTAAAGAACTTTTGAAAAGATATTTTATTTTACCATGAAAATTTCAGACTAAAAGTACTTTTGTGAACTTTGATGAATTGTTTTTCTTTTCCCTGCTCCCACAAAGTTGTCAAAACTCAAACGGTGCTATTGGGGACACAACATTAAAACACTTTTGTTAAATACTCTAAAAATACATTCATTTTTTTGTAATTTATTTATTTATTTATTTTTTTTCAATGACAAAAGCCAAAAGCTCTATAGACTATAGCACCAACCCACTTAAACCCTAGCCTGTCTCATACTTGGCCAATGCCGTTGTACCCTCTCTCTCCCAACTGTTAGCAGGAGAAGAGCGAAATTTGGGACCATAGAGTGAAAATCAAGAAAAGGTTAGTTAAATTGTGATATGAAAAGCATATTTATTAAAAGGTTGTTTTTGATCAAATATCTGAAATGTCATCCTGGGATTTTGGTCCATAAGAGGACATATAACAATGGCCTTGTCTTGTTTCTAGGGTTCGATCACTTGTTTAAATTCTCAGTTTACAACTACTTGTCATTGTCATCAACACTTGTCTTGCTTTTCAAGGAAAAAAAAAAAAAAGTTTTATTGAATTAAGAAAGCAGAATTAGTCTGCTCTGCTCTGCTAGTAGTATTCGAAGTGTTCTATGGTGAACCTGGAAAGTATGTATATTTGAGGTTAATTTGGGAGAACAAAATTCTTTGAATGCCTTGCTTAGATATTTTTCTTGAAGTGGTTTCTTTTTCGTTGTATATTATTTTGTTTCTTTTGCACTCTTTTGGATACGGGATTATATTATTTAAGACGCGACTTTATTGTTGTACCCCTTATTTCTATTAAGGCTTAATCTATTCTGACAAATTTATTGTGCTACAGAGCCTAGTATTTGAGTTTCTGCATCAGCAAGAGAGAAGAAACATGGCAACTCACCTCACTCAAAGTCAAAGGCGGCTGATTATTCAGGATGAAAACTTGGGCACCCACCACAAAAGTATTCCATTTTATCATTTTAATAGTTCACATTGGGAAACATGATTGGTGGTTAGATATAGCCTTACCAGAGAGTAGTGATGAACTAACAAACACCTAAAAAATGATTCTGAAGTTCTTTCAACGGATGCCATGTGCTCAACAGTGAAAAATCAACTAAGTTAAATTGTTCTTCACATTTATCCTTGGTTGGAACAATATTAACTGGCTTTTAGAATCTTTTCCCAAACTGTGTTTTGACTCCAATATTTTCCTAATAATTTGATTTTATTATCTGTCTATAGAGGCTGTGATTGATGGAAAAATTAAGAGTTCTAAGCCTGTTGTTAAGAAAGGTGGAATGGGCTTTGGAAATCGTAAGGCTCTTAATGACATTACGAACAAGTCATCACTTCATCCTGAAACATCATCAAGGAAGAAGAACTTACCTAAAGAGGAGCCCAATAATATTACCGAAGAAATGTTTTTGCATGATCACAAGAAGTGCATTGAGGCACAACTAACAGCAATGAGTCCTTCTTGTTTCTTGGACTTAGTTCTTCCTGGACATGGTAACTTACTCATACTCGTCTGATTTGTGATATCCTTTCTCATAAGGTTCTTCTCTAAAACATGGTTATCATGGCACTTATGGTTCTATACTTAAAGTTGGAGATCAATTTCTTTTTTAATTGTAATCAAACTATTGAAGTTTTTTAGTTATTCATTCCATTGAAGTTTACCATGCGTGGTGCCCCTTAGTTTGGCACATGGAATACAATCATACATACTTTCTATGCTATGAAGCACATATCATATCTCCATGTGTCTATTGGGTATTGATACTTCTGGATTATTGCAGTTACATATCTCCTTTTTCCTAAAGTATTCATAAAATAGATATATACTCTGTATATATATTTTCTTGAACATGTTTGAGACATCTTGAATATTAAAATACAACATTTCTTGTATAACATCATATTAGAATTGTTAGAAAATTATAAGCAGGGGTTTTAAATATCATACTTTCTTAGTAGAAGAATTGGGATATAACAAGAACATATTTGTTTAATTTAGTTCAAAGTCTGTGTTTATGTCTATAAAACGTAACTTTGGGTTTTCCATGTGACTTTTATTATTATAAGCTAGAAATACAATATATGATAGTCATAGACTCGAAAATTTGTTTTCCGTAAGTTCTTTTGTGAAAAAATCTTAGAATATATGTATCTAACACAACAAACTAGAATGATTTTAGATGTACGCTTGGATGCATATATATATATTTTAATTTTGATACCCATGAACATATATAACTATCTATTTACAAAGATATATGTATAGAAGCACATATTGTTGACTCCTTACGTTATTCATATCCTCGTGTTTAAGACTTTGTCATAAATGTATTATATATCCATGTCCATGTTGGTAGCTTTTATGGAAGCATTATGTCATATTTAGAGCTATGACTTGTTGGTTGCACCATTCGTTCTTGAACCTAGACTTTTGGCTTGAGAATTGAGGGAAGGGGACATCCAAATAAATATTAAGCTTGAGAAGGTGAAACACCTAAATTGACCATGAACTGATTTATGTTGCTTTTATAGAGATTTTTCAGAATTATTGAACCCCAGTCCCCCAAATTAAAGTTGTCAAAATTTTAAATAGTGATGTCATTCATTCTAATGTCATATAATCTACAAATATCTTGGTAGCTTGTTTCTAAGTTGCATATATGAAGATGAATGAAAAAGTTCCCATTGAAGAACTTGTCTTGGACAAGGTCAAAATTGGTCAACCATCTGAATCCTGGAAATGATGCAATATATATCATCTGAACTAAATGGCTCTCCAAAATTTGATGTCACCTGTTCTGGTATAGGTTCATGTATAATTGTATTGTCTGCTAAGTAATAGTAGTTCCTGAAGATATGACATGGGTTTAAAGCTTACTTTCCTCTCTGCAGATTCTGTACCATCTGTTGAATTTTGTGAGTCTAAACCATCCAAGGTGTGTGTATTGTGTATTCTATCTTTCCGTTTATTGTGTTTCGATATGATAGGTAGATCAAATTAACTTTAACTTTAGTACGTGATGACAAATAACTCTTCTATTTTTCTGTGTTGCAGATTGATATTGATAGCCTCCGCTGCTACCCAGAACCAATGGAATTGTCCATGTCTGAATTCTCTGATTTGTTAGTGTGGGACTCTCCACAATCTTCTCCATTACACTTGGACTCTCCGCCTTCCTCTCCTTTTGCACGGGAGAACGAGCCGGTTGAATTTCTGCTGAAGGAAGAAGGTTGTTGAATTTTTCTTCTTTGCTTCAGTTTCTTTGTCCATGATATGTGTTTTTCTAACTACTAATTGTACAAGGAAATGTGACTTCTTTGCTCCAGTGTCTTTGTTGATGATATGTGTACTACTAATTAGATAAGCAAATGTAACTTCTTTGCTCCAGCTTCTTCGTTGATGATTTATGTTTTTAAATACTAGTTGTACAAGCAAACAATTTCTTACATTTTTATCAGAGCTTTTTCATGCTTGTCTAATATATTATCTTCTACTTACAAGTTTTTGTTGTATTGGTGGAATTTCTTCTGTCATATATTCCTCATATCATTGGACAGATTTACCCAGATAAAACCTTTGGGTGAAAAATCGCACTCGAACATGATTAACCTAATATATTTGTAAATCGCTGGACTGTTTCCTGCTCCATGCATGAATTGACCATCTGTCTTCTAGTTCAGGCAAGGTACTGAGCCTTCCAAGACCAAAGTTCCACTACTAAGCCTTTGCTGAAAGTGCTTCTAAGGTTGAGTAAAAGGTAGGGCTATGGTGTATTCTCTAACTCGCTCTTGAGTTTGTTTAGAATTACTATATTCACATACAAGGGATCGCCTTCCGGCGTCTACCACCTAATTTTGATGTCAACAGCCATGGTAATTCATCTTTGGGTAGCACTACTCAATCTTCAAGAAAGTGGGAATGAAATTCAGATTGGAGTAGTACTTGGCAATGAAAATTCTTGGTAATTAGCAGGAGGGAGAAGATCTCTACTCATTTCACTCACTCAGTGTTTGTGATGGCATAAGCTTGCTTGAAGTAAGTAATATTTTCGTATTTTAGGCTTTGTGAACATAAGCTAAACATGACAATCCTAATTGTCCCAACCCTAAAGTGGGACAGGACTTGATAGATTTTTGGAGAGGAAATTTCTTCATGGGAGTTTGGGGCAGGAATGCCTATTTATATCCAAGTATAGTAAGCATATATTGAGTGAGCGGGACATACCATGTCATTAGTGTGTCCATCCAATGGCATTCACCATTTTAGCTGATCACACCAATTTTTATTTATTTATTTATATATATATTTTTTATCTTCACCTCAACTTGTTTCAATTCCTTGCTTAAATATGTAATGTGTTGTGCTCGGTTTGTTCTTTTATTTGTTATGCATACCCTTGACAACTTGTCTGTTTACACAGTACTTACTTCCTACAGTCGTCTTATTCTCTAATACCAATTTGATTCTGCTTGTGTTAGCATGAAGGATAGTTCGTATTTACTCTTCATTGGGTCCATTTCAATTGAATTTTAATGTTTTTTATTTTTATTTAGCGAGTGTTTGCCGTCAATTGGAATGGACCCATGAAGGTTAATTTTGCAATCTTTATTTTACTTGCATTTTAAATTTTCTTTTTGTGTGTGATTGTGAGTTTTATTTTGGTAAAATTAAAATAAAAAAAAAAATTAAATAAAAGGGCAAGTCAAACCTATTCACCCCGCCTAAGTATTTTTTCAAAGTTTGTGACGCCAATGAACAGTCATGCCCTAGAATAAAATAATTGATACATATGTGGTGGTAAAAAAAAGAAAAAGATGAGCAAGAGATGCATATGTGGCCTAGTGGTATAAGGGGATTTGTCCCACATCAAATCTGAATGGGAGAGTGACTGGGTATAAATGGATGGGTATGTAACACTATTTAACAGCTTGAGTTTTTAGGTAAATAGGTAAGCGTCCACCCTTTATAATTGGTATCAGAACCCGACATCTGCAATGAGGGTGTTGCGGTTTAGGTGAGGGAGAATGTTACAAGGGGATTTGTCCCACATCGGATCCGGATGAGAGAGAGCACTACCTAACAACTTGAACTTTTGGGTAAATGGATAAGCGCTCACCTGTTACAGTTGATATTAGAACCAGACCTAGTCTTCATCCGGTGTCACGGGCTGAGCTACAACGAGGGCGTGTCGAAACCGAATGAAAGAGTAACCGGGACTATCATGCTCGAAAAGAAAAAAAGTGTAAAATAAAGCAACAAACAAACTTTTTTTTAATTTTTAATTTCGTTTGTTTTTATTAGATGATCACACAAAGTTGATCAAACTTAGGGGTTGCATAAAAAGTAAACCTAAGCGTTATATGTTCGAGCCACCTTGAAAATGTGCAGAGCTGAATCAAACCAACTCCACAATCCCCAAACGATCATGTAAGAACAAAAAAGAGGGTTATGCACACAAAACATGAGGCCATGCAAAGAAATGAGTTGAAGTAGAGATATGCAAGATGTAAAGAGTTTAGAGCTACTTCTTGTGAACAACAAACATGCTAAAGCATGTGTATAACTTTGTCGGATGGAGGAAAACAGCTCTCTGTGTTAGTGAGAGCCTTTGGAAGAAGCTTACTTGCTGGAAATTCTACGGTTCTACAAAATCAGGGGTTGTTTGGAGAGGGGAGGTTGTTTCCTAACTCTAGGGTCTAGAGAGAGTTGATTCCTGTTTGAAAGGAGGGGTCTAAAGCGGTTTATATAGAGATTTCTGAGTGCGGGTCACGGAATCAAAGAAAAATGAATATTTTGGACTGAATTTGATGAATTTTGGAAAGATTTTAGGGGGTGCCGCACAAGTGACTTGTGTAGCAATTGCTTGTGCGGCACAGTCTTGTCCACTCTAAATAGAATTTTTCAAAATCTAGGGTTTCTGGGATGTGCTTTCTTTGTCTGCAAGGATTTGTTCTCTTCATCAAATCAGTACCTAGAATATTTCTTTGGTATTTAATTTAACCGTTTTACCCCCGTTGGGAGCGTTCTAGTCATTTTAGTGTCTCCGATGCATTTGGATATGATACTAGAACTAATTTTTAGTTTTTCGGTCATTTCAAATGCCATGTTGAGGTCTAGTCCCTCATTTGGCGAATGGAATTAAAACACAACGACGCTTATCCTAAGGCACTTTATGCGTAGAGAGGCTTCCTAAGAAGAGGGTAAAAATTGGGTGCGTACACTTGAGAATGAATTATTGTTGATTAACATGTGGGTCTTAAAATTTTGTGTTTATAAACTTTTGAATGCTTGAGAAGTATTTGGATCTCATACATGTTGAGAAACTAATTGAAGCATGCTCATACACATACTTATTTTTGTTTCTCATATTTCAAAAATTAAAAAAATAAAAAAATTTAAAAAGTTGAAAATTTTCAAAAAGATAAATTATTTCATCTTTTGTGAATTTGTTTTGTGTTTTTAATTTTTTATGTGCTTAAGTTTTGTATATATATTTGGAGGGCATTTCGGTCTCTTCATATTTTTTTCAATAACATCCATAGCATTTATTTGGACGGGTAGCACTCATTTGGGTCATTTTTATCAAACAAGCTTGCGCGCCTTGGACACTTTGAGCATCCGATCACACACCAAGCCTCCTAAGTCAAATTTGTTAATTCTTTTTCGGTAATCTTGATTTCTTCCTTCTCTAATCCTAGTAGTTTTTTTTTTTTTTTTTTTGATAAATAATAATCGATTAAGAAGCGTTCAAAAAGAGAACGCATCCCATAAACAAAAGTGAAATTGGGATCTAAGGACCTAAAGAACCCGAAAAATTAACTAAGTTATCGGAAGAGGAGCAAGAACTCCTCTTCACATAACTAAAGATAGAGCAAATAATATGAAGTTTCAGTGTCGCCATGGATGACTCCTTCCCTTAGAACATTTTACTATTCCTCTCATTCCAAATGCACCACCAGACGCAATGCGGAACTATCCTTCAATAGTCCCAAACACGGCTTCTCACACGACATTCCTTGTGACGACCTTGGATTTTACAAACTCAGTGTGTCCTATGATGACCCGAAACGGATCCAAAATGCGAAAACTAAATGTAAACAAGTCTATAGGGATGTACATCATCCTAAAGACACGAGAGTGACCTTTTGAGAAGTCCCGTGACTCAATGGAGGTAAGACCGGAGTTAGGGTTTCAAAACCCTCCAAGGAATGGACCAAGGGCAAAATGGCCATTTCAAACTGAAATGGGTACCACCATGCACACCATTAGAAATACAACGAAAAATGTACAAGAATTGACTCAAGAATCACTTGATTCTGAGTCCGGACGAAGAAGATAATAAGATAGAACGAAACGACGTCCTTCGATTAAGAGATACCACAACCCTATCTTACTAAAACTGTCACCAATCTCACTGCAGTTGGAGTTTTTGTGTATGGTTGGTACCATTAGAAAGATGACTTCAAGCTTTTGAGGTTAGACTAAAAAATGACCCAATTTAGACTAGAAATGGAGAAGTTATGACCATTTGAAGTCAGAGCAATAGTGCTATCCCAAAACTGAAGAATAAATTGCTAAAGCATTTAGGTCGACCAAAATGGCATTTCGGTCAACCGAAATGAACCCAAAATGACCCAAAACCTGGAAAATGAAGGAAAACCACTTCGGTTGACCGAAATGATGAATCGGTTGACCGGTTATGACCCAAACAGTACTTTAGTTACTGGAAAATGCACTTAAACTATTTAAATGAAATCCAAAAGTCACTGGTCTACCGAAATGGCATATCGGTCGGCCGAAATGACTTAAACAAGTGCAAACACACTTGTTATGCACCAGAAATGATAAGGCTTCACTGAAGCCTCAAACCCCACCATGAAATGGTTGAAAAACAAAAATTAAAGCTGTGGAAGCATGCCAACAAACGTAATTAACCTATTAGGATGCGCTACAATTATCCACGGCTTAAAAATACTGCCGATACAAAATATGACCCATCCAAACCCCAAAGCGTAAAAAAATGCCTTTTAAAGGTAAACAATGCAATAACTGGACTTAGATGCAATCAAAAGACCGCCCTTGGCCATACTTCATGCACGGTAAATGAATGCCAAAGAATAATTTTCATACACAATGCACACTCCGGTGCAAAAATGACATGTTAAAACCCTAATTTTTCATATTTTTCTCAATAAAGGCAAAATTCAACATTTATTACATTTCTGTGATTCCAAAAGAAGTTTGGTCCTTGTCCACATATCAAATACATAAATTGAGTGTCAAAAAGTGTTCTTGGGCACACATTACAAGTCTTAAAGTAAATATGACATTTTTAACCTAGCTATACATTATAACTTTAAAAGTAAAACTTAAACATGCTAACACTTATATGTGAACAAGAATACATTTAAAAGAACTCCAATCTAACGAAACAACCTAAGAATATTATGCATCTCGGAACCACGTCTTTTTGCCTGAAATGGGTTGCATTCAGTGAGGGGTGAGTAAATCGTATTACTCGTAAGGAATGAGCATGCATAGACGTAAGTTTTTACAAAGTTATCACATTAACATGAAATAATTCAAAATGATTATGCCACCTAATGTCTATGTCAAAAGTGAGACTAAGGGATCATCTCAAGCTACTCATGCAATTGAAATGAACTACGGTATACAAGTATACATGCTCCAGTATATAAAACAATGTTAAAACATGATACACGACATATAAGTATATAATTTCAAGTATACTAAACCATATTAAAACAAGTTATACGATGTTTAAGTATACCTACACAAGTATACAATTAATATGAAAATCTCGTAAATCAAGTACACAAACACAAGTATACTAAGCCAAATGAATTGCGCATAAGACAAGTATACACGACACAAGTATACTAAATGAAATCTATACACATGAAGTAAGTCTACGAGTTCAAGTACACTAAAAAATATTCAAATACACAAACAAGTACACTAGTTTAAGTATACAAAATGAAGCTTAAAAGTACAAGGCAAACACCAATCCATAAGCTACAAGTAATCCATGATTAACTACTTAGGATTTAATGAGAAATCAAATAGTGAAAAAAGTAGGACACTTGGTTACTGGCCAAGCAAGTTATTCTGAGTAATTACGAGCCGCAAAGAACTATCTAGTGCGCGTGTATAAGTTATTCCGAGCAATTACCATCCACAAGGTACTACCTATGCACACTTCATATGACTAAGGAAACTCTTGTTGCCGTACTAGAGCCAAACTCTAGCCATCACATGTAATTTTCCTTATAAGCCTTTCAAAATCAAAAAGTTTAAAACTTATGCAAAATCAATAAGTTAAACCAAACACATACAAAGTCAAATAATGTATAGGAATCACTTTCCATGCACGAGTAAGGTTGAATACACACAAACCATGTCCTAGAGTTTCAAGTCTACAATGAAATTTAAGATGTCGAATTTTCAAGGTGCGATTTATTACATGATATAACAATATTATTTCAATATCGAAAACATAATCTCATCCAAACAATCCCTAATTAACATATGTTAAACAATATAGCATGGTCATTACATAAACCAACTCAAAAACTAAATTATGTCATTGGAACAACAAAATAGAATTTAATTAAAATACGATAATAAATCTCTAGATTCTAAAGCAACTCCAAATGGCCCCAAATTGATATACACGAGTGAACAAGTCCTAGGCATTACAATCTTCAAGTTAAAAACTCAATCAAGTCAATGGAACCATTAACTAGTTTTTAATTAATTCATTTAATTTAAAATCTCTAGATTTCAAAACTTATCCAAATGCTCTCAATTTAACATAGGTTAAAGAACATACCAAGGCTTATTTTAATATCACATTACAAGTTGATTTTATGCTAGTTACAACCATGTGAATTAAACTTTCAAACAAGTGAAATATTAAATAAAAGTTTTAATACTTATTCAAATAATTCTAATTTAATATATGTTAATGAACATATCAAGGCCTAATTTAATAGCATGCGACAATTTAATTCTAAGCTATATACAATCATGAGAATTAAATCTTAAACATAATAAATAATTAAATTAAATTTTAAAACTTGAATAAAGGCATGCTTACAAGTTGTATATGCATATAAAATAATCAATACAACATTAATATAAACCTAAGACATTCATGACCTCAATTTGAGATAAAATCTCAAATCCCCATCGAAATGAAACCGCTTTAAATCCTATGAAACTTCGGAGTTTTGTCGGGAACAATAAGGTGAACATTAAACCCCAAGGAGGTCACACCAAAATCCAAACTTGGCTTCAAACCCGAACTCGGAAAATGGCCAAAATGGAATTCCAATCGGTTGGAATCGAAGGCCTCGCCAAGGCGGACATTAAACATTGAGGCATTATGGCATTTTACTAAAGGGAAGTGGCCTAAAAAAGAAGAAAGGAGGTGGCAAACATGTGAGGAGCTTTGGCTGGCCATGGGGAAGAGCATAGTTGTTAAAGGCTCAAGGCGCACAAAAGTGCAAATGCTTCCTGGAGCCTGAGGCGCAAGGCACAAGGCGAGGCGCGCGCCCAACTGAAGCAAGGCACGCGTTGGAAAAAACAAAAAAACAAAACCCACCCAATAAAGTATTAAAGATGCAATAGTATATATAAAGATGTAAAAGTTAACTAAATGAATTACTTAAGTTAAATATTCAACATAAAGATGCCAAAACCAAGTAAATCAAGTATTTAAGTTCAAAACAGTGAATAATCAAACATATTAACATAAAGATGCCAAAGTCAACTAAGGAGAAGTATAATATAAAACTAAAATAAACATAAACATCATTTCTTCCTAAGAAGACAACACCAATGAATCTAAATATCATCCTCGTCATCAATAAGCATAACATCATTTTGATCGTCACTAAATGATTCATAATTCTCAGGATCCTCTTCTATCTCATTTGAATCATCATCATCCTCATCCACAAGTCGAACTGAAGAACTTCCTGCTCCCTTTGTTAATAACCGTGAACTAGAACTAGATTTTGATCTAGTAGACCGTTGCGGCCTGCTAGCCTCTCCAATACCAGCAAAATTAGCAACATCACCCCATGTCAAGCAATCATCTTCATAGACTAGATCATGTTCTGCATCAGAATCATCCATCCTCACCATTAACCACTCGTTGCTCTCATCAATGTCATCGAGTAAAATGGGATCAAGAGTGTCATGCATATTATATCGACGCCTCAATGCTCTATTATATTTAATGAACACTAAATCATTCAAAGTTGTTTGAGCGAGCCTATTTCTTTTCTTGTTATGAAGCTGCAATAAATTCAACTTTAACTAGTAAGTATAAAAAATTAAAATTTTAACTTTCAACAATTAAATTACAAACCTAGTTAGTAAATAGTATATACTTACATGCTTAAACACGCTCCAATTTCGTTCACAACCAGAAGAACTACAAGTATGGTTTAAAACCTTTATAGCAAACTTTTGGAGAAGTTTTGTTGACTTGTCATAAGCTTCCCACCAATTAGTTATTAAAAAAAATTAATTATGATGTTTAGCAACTTTAGTTTCATCTTTCTATCGACTCTATTGTCAAAATAATTTTAACACTTAGCTATACTAACTTAATATACTTTACCACTTTACCTGGTCCTCGTGTATTTCTCTGTCTAATAGCAAAGGGATTACCAAAGAGGCCCTCAGTTTTAGAATATAAGGACAACTCCTCAGTAATTTTGTCTTGGTCTTTGATATCTGGGATTAACCTTGCAATGCATGTATACAAACCCTTTGCAATGCATGCATACAAACCCTTTGCAATGCATGCATACAAACCCTTTGTAATCTCTTCATCTTCTTCAATTTTAGGATTTGAATAAAAGTATTTTGGGTTCAAATAATAACTTGTTGCATGCAAAGGGCGATGAAGTTGAACATTCCACCTCTTATCAATTATTTGAAAGATATCCTTGTATTTGTCTTCTACTTCCCCAAATGATTTTGCAATGGCATCTTTAGCCCTATCCATAGCCGCATAAATGTATCCCATGGGAGGTTTTTTCTCGCCATCAACTAATCTCAAAACCGGAATAAGAGGACTGGAAACCTTAAGGCTAAAGACAATGTTGTTCCAAAAGGAAGGCATCAAAACATAAGAAGCAACTCTTTTACCGGCTTCCTCTTTCGCCCATTTACTACGATTCCATTCTTCTGAAGCAAACATCTTTCTCAAGTTATTCTTTTGCTTGTGAATACTTGATAACATGATGAAACATGTAGCAAATCGAGTCTTAGCGGGCCTAAGCAACTCCTTTTTATGATGAGTAAAGTTCCTCATAATGTTCAACAACTTTGGACACATATAGATATAACTATTCAACTCCACTGCCCTCTGCATTGTTCTAGAGATGAACGGTATTTTCCCAATGTCTTCCAACATCAAGTCTAAGCAATGAGCAACACATGGTGTGTAATACAAATATGGGTTTTCTTTCTCTAACATCCTCCCTATTTGAAACCAAACGGAAAAAAGAAAAAATGATATAAAGAATATGAGTAAATAAAAAAAGATTTAAATTATATATTTGTAAAGAATTTACATACTTTAAAAGTTATAAATATTGAACATTCTTACCGGCAGACTTATTGCTTGATTCACTATCTGTGACGACTTGGATGACATTTGCTACTCCAATGTGGTTCACAAATTTATTAAGTAAGTCAAACATCTTTGCACCATCCTTTGAAAAAGAAGAAGTATCTATCGATTCAATAAACATGGTTCCCCTTGGACTATTTACTAGGAAATTAAGCAATGTTCTCCCTCTCTTATCTGTCCACCCATCTGCTATTAATGAGCATCCAAAATTTGACCACTCCTCTCTATGGTCATTCATCAAAGCATTTGTATTATCCAATTCCTTCCTAAGCAAAGGAACTCTCACCTCGTGATAACTAGGTGGTTTCATGCCAGGACCATATTGTCCAATTGCTTCAACAACCTCAGCAAAGCTATCATACTTAACAGCATTGAATGCAATTCCTGCATCATACATCCACCTTGCAAAAGCAGCACACGCTCTTCCTTTCAACTCTTTCTTGTATGCATTATTAATGGTTGTCTGTTTTCCCCCCTCCTTTCTTTTTTGTACCACAATTTCCGGTCTGGGAGTGAAATATAAATCAATCGGTCCCTTTTGCTTTTGCATTTTTGAGGAATTGACACTAGCACTGCCACTACCTGCACTAGCTACCCTTTTTCCCCGATTGTTAACTTCCATAACGTCATCCTCATCCTCTCCATCAAGGAAATTAATTTCATCACCAGGCAACAAATTTATTTGCTCTTTTTCTTCCTTTTTCTTACTCATGTACTCTTTGATTTCTTCTCTAACACTAGATGGGCATCTTGTGCATGCACTCACATTTTTATACCCTCCAGCTAAGTGTTGCTTAGCCCGATAAATACCTCCTTTTGTAACTTTTGCACAAAAGTTACAAGTGACGGCATTTGTATCTTTCAGATTCTCCAAATGTGAGTAATTCCATGCTGGATCCTTTCTTGAACCATCACTAGGCATCTTTTAAAGTACAAACTACAATCAAATTCAAGATACCAAAATAATAACATGATTAGCATCATGTAATTAGTGTCTACAACAACTTTGACAAAAAAAAAAAAAAAATTACAGAGCTTCAAAGAATCAAAGGCATATATGGACACTGCATGATAAATTTTATATGAGATTTATCAACTATATGAGATGTAATATATATGCATATATGGACTGCATGATACCATATAGGCATATACCAACTGATACGTATACTACAATTTATTCCAGCAGCACAGAATTGTAAAGTTGTAAACTACAATTTATTCCAGCACAGAATTGTAAAGTTATAAACTAAAATTTATTCCAGTAGCACAGAATTGTAAAGTTGTAAACTACAATTTATTCCAGCATAGAATTATAAAGTTGTAAACTACAATTTATTCCAGCAACTCAGATTATAAAAAAATAAAAAACAAAAATAAAAGAAGAGGTTGAAGAGCAGAAGCAGAGAGAGCCGAGAAGAAGAATAGAAAAAAAAAAATAAGAAAAAAAAATCAGAGAGAGGCTGAGAGCTGAGAGAAGAAGAATAAAGGGAAAAAGAAAAAAAAAAATACAAAAAAAAAAAGAGAAAAAAAAAGAGGCTAAGAGCCGAGAGAAGAAAAAAAAAAAAAAAAAGAAAAGGAAAAAAAAAAAAAAGTGCAGAGGAGAAAAGAAAAAAAAAAAATAAAAAAATGAAGAAGAGCCGAGACTCGGCTCAAAGAAAAAAAAAATAAAAAAAAATAAAAAGCAAGACTCTAGAGTCGAGGAGAGTCGAGAGAAGAGAACTGAAGAAAAGAAGAAGAAGAAGAAGAAGAAAAGAAGAAAAAGAAAAAGAAAAAGAAAACAAAGAAAAGAAGAAGAAGCAAGAAGGAGAGAAGAAGAAGCAAGGAGAGAAGAAGAAGAAGCAAGGAGAAGTGGAGAACTTACCGGCGCTTCGCAGATCCGGGCTTCGCAGACGGCAGATCCGATGAGCTTCCAGCTTGTACTTCTCTCTCTCTTCTCTGTCTCTTCTTCCCTTTTCCTTTTGCTTTTTGCTTTTTGCTTTTTTTTTTTTTTGACAAGTGATAAAAGCTTAAAGTAAACACTGTAACATATCTGAATATATCACGTGGGTCTGTCACTCATTGTCTCTCACACAAGCCACAAGACTTACAACCAAAATAATAAAAAAAAAATTAACAAAAAACTTGTTCAAATAGGCGTGCCTGTAGCCCTGCGCCTAAGCCCCAAAAGTGCGCGCCTATTACAAGGCCCTCGTTCTAAGCCTTTCAAGGCGCCAAGGTGGCGCCTGGAGGCTCCTGGCTCCTCAGGCACGTGCCTTCGGCGCCTTTAACAACTATGGGGAAGAGAGAAGAGAGATTTAAATTTTCATTCTAAGTCCCCCTATTTATAGAAAAACTCAAAAAGTGCCCCGAACGGGTCCCGCCGGGTATAGAAAAGTGAAATTTTAGCAAATGTGCTCAAACGGCAAAACACTGTGAACAAAAAAGAACTGAAATGAAAAAAATGAATAACGGAAGAAACGACGTCAAAAATCGAGTTCTGAGTAGAGAGATATGCCCCAAGCAAGTTCGGCAGCAACTAGGGTCAGAAACCTGAAAACTGGAGAAATTGACCGCAAGGCAATCCTAAGAGTATACGACTCGACAAAATATGAAAATAAATATCATACGAGAATCCAAATCCTAAGAAGACACTTTGGAATTAACTTTCATTAATTGCATAAAGTCCCCTACACAAAAGGATAACTACGCAAGTGACGCAAATGAAACTATCTTTCAAAAAATATTTTCTTAAAAACCCCCAAATCAAAATATCTTGAAAATATATTTATGAAAAACACCATAAGAAATGAAAATGTTTCAAAAGAATCTTTTTATCCACACTCCTGCGGGAAAAAGAAACAACTGGCGAGCTTTTCTCCAAAAGTAAAGCTACAACTTTTAAGGAAACCAATAAGAATGAAAGTACATGAGATTAAAAATCAACTCCAACCATGAGGAGTGAGGTTACGTGAAAGGAAATTTAAAAAAAAATAAAAAAAAAAAACTGAAAAAAATGGAGAAAAAGGAAAGGAAGGAAAATGACCGGGTCATTGCATCCCCTCCATGCATTAATCAAACCCTTAGAAGATCGAGGCATTACCCAAAACATATTGAATAAGCCAAATATAAGGTTCCAACAGTCGTATGCCACTAGGCAAAGCAGGAGGATATAATGTGAGATATTATTTTTTAATTGACAATTATTGGAAACAAAACAAGTCCTTATCGAATTGTAATTTGAAGTTACTATATCAGGATTAACAGCGACTGTGGAATGGAAATGTTGTTCAAAGTTTCCTTAAATGAAGATCATTTGAAGAAAAAGGTAAGAACGACATATTAGGAAGAATTCTAAACAGATTATGACATATTCTATACTTGGTAGTTATTTTAAACTTACCATACAGTGTTTTCAGGCCTAAAAGAACCATATTTCAAGTTTTGGTCAACTTGAACCGGTTCAGCCTCTCTGAACTAGTTCAAGGCTTCAAGTTGGTCTCGAATTACCAACTACCAGACTTAAACTGGTTCAGCCCCTCTGAACTGGTTCAAGTAGTCCTGACTGTAACGATCCAAAAAGATTCCGGTTGACGGTACCAAATAAATAAATAAATAAATAAATAAAATTCGGCATGACCTCGATAGAAAAAGTCCTACTACGACTTGTTGAAATACATATAAAATGCAATGGCCAGCCTCACTTGGCCTTAAAACTAATCTATCATGTCCCAACGTACAATGTAAATAATATACAACATTCCTAAAATGAACACATACATATAAGAAGAGTCCTATTCCTCCATCTCATCCAAACATGGAAACACCAGTCCACTACCTAGTCCCATAATTCTTTAAAAGGAATGCACTTTAATTACATCAAGTTATAGTCTATGAAATATAGCTAAAATTAAAAGTCTATAATTTACAACATTATACAAATTAAACTAAAGTTTCATAAAAATACTAAAGTTTTAATATAAAAGATAACAAAATATAGATCTCCAATCCCATCTAAACTTGTGGTGGATTGTCATCCGCCACTTCTTTTCCGTGTCCTGAAAATATTAAAGTTATGGGGTGAGTCAACCGCTCAGTAAGAAGTGTCTAAGATACACCTCTTAGGACCCAGTGAATCCACACAAAGAATAGAGTACAAGTAAACGGGATCATGCCTCAGAAAAACAAACAAAACAACAATATAACAAAAAAAAAAATGTATATAAGTCATCCGACCACCAAGTATACAATATATGCCAATGATGTGCCATGCCATGAAATGTCGCTCCCAATTTATGAAACAATACCATTTCACCTTTCCAAACCGTTAGTACAGTCCGACCCAAAGCGATTCCAAGCCGTCACGAAAGGAGGATTGGCTAACTATTCACGACCACAAGGCAACTCCAAGGCGTCGTATCTGGCCTAGGTAGCTCAACCATGCTAGGGTTTCTCCCTAGTACCCTCTAGACCACACGCCGTGGACCATTAGGCGATTCCTAGGTGTTTGGGATTTCACAAACCACTTTTCAAAAATATTTTTCCCAAAATAAATTTCTTTGCTTTTGAAAACATTTTCCCATTTCTTACCCAATGCCATGCATGAAATGCCTCATGCCTTTTCAATGCCAACACAATATATAGTTTTCATACTTTTAACACCAATGACATTTGTATGCTTTGAGGTAACTGATACAATAATTCCACATACCACAATTTATCATTTATGGCAATTTGAACATATAAGGCATGCTTTGTAAGAAGATTTACACATTAAATTTCAAGTAGTCAACCCCACATTTATAGCACAAAAACATTTTAAGCAATTGATACTTTAAATCCAGCATGCTCTTTCACATAATTCAAATAGGCATGTATATGAATTCAATTTTTTACATAATATACAACTATCACACTAAATACATAAGACCCTCATAACCATAAAACAAATTTATGCAGTTTAAGCATGCTAGGGCCAAATTTAGAGAAATTAATTCACTCAAATCAAAGATTGTGTGTATTAAAAACCCTTACCTCAATTAAAAGGAAATGCCCCAATTTTAGCCCAAGAGATTCGAAAATCCAATGGTGGCAAATTCAAGATCTGCTCCGATCAAAACAAAGTCCTCAATGAGCTTGTCAACTTTGTCTTCTATTGCAAATCCAAGTGCAAATGGGAGAAATTAAGACTTATATGTGTTAAAAAAAGAAAAAAAAAGAAAAAAGAAAAAAAGAAAAAAAAAGAAGAAAGTGGAAAGCTAAGGAAGAGAGATGAGAAACTAAGAGGAGAGAAAATGGTGATTTTGTAATGACCCCATGGTCATATGTGATGGCTTATAATAGTGGTGGGTCCCATTGACTTTAAAAAAATCTCTTTTAATATTTTTATATATAAACGCACTCACGCGCGCGCACACACACACAGTAACCAAAATACAACCACATAAATAAACATTTAACCAAGCAAATATGCACAAAATAATATTGCACGAAATGCAATAATCTGGAAACACAATTCTCGTGCTCAACAACCCCGGTAGTGGGTCCCACCTGGGACCTCCTAGTCCGAAAAAAAAAAAATGTCGAAATGGCAACCATTACATTTTTAAGAGTCCTGAACTCAAGGAAATTCTCCAACAACCCTCGGGTCTCACCCAGCACACTCCCACGGTGTCTGGCATGGAAAACGAGGTGCGAAAAAAAAATAATCCCGAAAAATCGAGAAATTCACGAAAAATGAAAAAATAGAAAAATGAGGATCATTACAATCTACCCCCTTAAAGAGATTTCGTTATCGAAATCTACCCTCCTTAAAGAAAAAGGGGTCCACTGTTGCACACCTTCTCGAGAAACATCTCACAAAATCACAAAATTATGAGCTCATCAACCTTATTGCCTTTGATACTGGAAAATAGGCAACCACATACCACTGCCACAAAAGCA